GTTCTGTAAAGCTTCTCTCAGAAAGGTGAGAAATTTAGAGTGTAGAAGTGAATAGTAGAAGAGAAGTAACTCGTGCACTAGAGACCTCATCTTTAGAGAAAACTTAATCCCCATCATCCACTGAAAACAGTAAAGCATCAGTAGGAAGATTTTGGCTACAGAACAAAAGTCCTTCTTATGGTCTAGCTTTTTGCCCCACTCTGTTTCCCTGTTTTTAGTCCCCAGATTATCTATTTTTCTTTCATCAAATAAAATATCCATGTGATTATATCATTATGGGATAGATCATTTGGGGCCACTTAATCACTTAATTTTTACCTATGAAGCGGCTCTCTATTTTCCTAAAGATTTATTTCCCATATGATTTCCACTCTGAGTTTCATTTTAATTAACGAAATCCATCCTTATTCCTACAGCCACAGGACCTTTCTAATCACCTGTACATTCAGTGTAGCCAATACAAGCACTTCTTTTCCTTCTCACTCATTTATTTCTCATTACATTCTCAAAGAGCACAGCGTTTAAGGCTCACTGGACGACGTTTCCTTTAGGAGTAATTGTTAAAAACATAAGTAACCTGGTAAAATACCATATGCTTCTAAATTTGCTTTCTAAATATACATTAAATTTTAGGGATGAAAAAGAAATGTCAACCTCAAAATTATTCCCAGTCATTTCGATTTCACATTTTTCATAGCCCTTTCCTTGGCTGAAATTCTAGAACACTTTGTAAATATAGGATGAAGGCCACTCTCAGAGGTCAGTCACCTGAGCCTTGTCATTCACTTTTGATTTGAATGCTATACTATGCCTACAATAACAGTCTATTTTGATTGTTCCAAAAGTGAAACACACCCTAAAACCACAATTCATTTTGTTAACAAGTGAATATGAGTAGTGCTGGAAACCCAGGCATTTCCAACTTTTCCCAAATCATCACCCACCCCAACAAGTCCATTGTTAAGTATACTTTCCACACAAACATTATTATGTGATGATTTGGTTCCAAGACTGAGGGGAAAACCCATTCAACCCTTCCTGGAAGGATTCTGCCATGTGAATTCCTAACAGAACCCACATTTAGAGTTCCAGTTTGTACTATATACCAAGTACGTCCACATTTCCAGAGCTATGAAATTCAACTCTGCTCAGACATCGAGAATAAAGGAGTGACAAGATGGGTTAGTGCTGGCAGCGGGGCTAGGAGTAGGGAGGTGGCAGGCAGGTGGAGGACCACAGGATTTGGTCAGCTGGCTCAGCAGAATAAGGAAGTTCCTGACATCAGGGAGAGAAAGAAGGGAACCCCAAGACAGCTACAAAACAGAAAGTGCACATAATGTATGTTTATAAAATGCATGTTCATAAGCAAGAGAATGTACCTCTGTTTGACCTTAAATACTTGTTTTGAAATATTTAGGGGCTTTACCAAGGAGAAAACTGCAATCATTTGCTGTTGCCGGAAACTGCCCAGTAGCCTGGCACCCAAAACTGGTGACCAGGAAGTCAGAGTTCAAAATAAGCTAGAATTAAATTACTTCCTGTCTTTGTTCATGTATTTCTGCTGAATGAGGAAATTTTAGCAGTGATTTTGTATTCATTAGGAAGATGGAATGTCACAGCAAGTCAATTACAGTCATAATGAAAATACCAAGATATTCTTATATGTTTCTCCACAATCCACTATGTTCATCTGGGATAAAATACACTATAAGTGGAGGTGAATGCACTTTACCTCTCAATGTGAATAGATACAGATGACAGGAATTTGTGAGTTGTGTTCAGTAGCTTCCAAAGAACAACATCTACAAAAGCAAATTTTTCAGGATTAAATCTAAAGTTCTTTCATAGAACTGAAATCTGAAAACTATCCCCCCAGAAATAACCAAAGAAAAACACAGTGTTTTCAGAAGGCAAGGGAATTATGATCAACACTCACAAATACAGAGGGTGAGAAAGTATGTTAAGTGTGGACATGTTAGAAGCTTGAACAGAGGAGTATCCAGAAGAGAACAGATCAGTGATTCTAAATCATTTCGGAAACTGCTACCTGCCATCCACAATTATACTTTTTGCTTCATGGTATATTGCATCCTCTGGAAGCATGCATCCCCTCCCACAGTTGTTATAGTTAACTGTATTTGGTATCAGTTGAAGAGCACAACTATGCATGCAGGCACGTGACAAACCCAAGGGTGTTCTCAGCTCAGCCAGGGATTTTCTGTGCAATCCCAGGCAGGTTTAACGCTCTGTGTAAGAACCATAACATATTCAACTACACCAACCAATTCCTCCTACTGTAAGTAGGCTCTTACAATAGGAAAGGAGAATAGAAAAAATTGAATTCTGACTGTATTGTATTCCACCCCTCCCAGGTAGGGTCCTGGAAGAGAAGAAAGGACATTACTGAGAAAATTAGTGAAATCCAAATAAAGTCTGGATTTATAGAAACAGATCAATGCTGATATTATAGTTTTATCAAATGTGCCATGGGAATATAAAATGTTAATATTAGGGCAAACTGGCTGAGGGTATACAGAAATTCTGTACCTACTTTGTTAATTTTCTATTAATCTAGGTTTATTCCAAAAATAAAAAGGTTATTTAAAAAATAAAAACCTTCATCTCACCTTTTTCAGCAGACATATCCAAATATAAATAATATTTTCTATTAAACAATGTGTTCCTCTCTGATCTACATTATTTAGTTTAAAACTCGGAGCAGATGCATGCGTAGCCAGGCTTGGCATTATGGTCCCTATTTTACATGCAAGGAAATAGAAGGTTTGAGAGGTGATAATTTGCCCATTGTTCACTCTCTTGACTATGGTACAGGTTAAGCTATTTTTACAAGGAGATCTCAACAATACAGTGGTGCCAAAAAAGCCACTGAAAAATGAGATATAATTAACATTCAAAATTGTATAAGTGTAGTATGTACAACTCATTGACTTGATACATTTGTACACATATTGCAGTATGATTATCATCATGGAGTTGTCTAACACCTCTTCTGAAAAAAAAACACACATTTAATGATTTATTTCTCTCTCATTTCACAGCCTAGAAGACAGTGTGAAATTATCTGAGGACCCAGGCTCCCTCCATTTTGTTGCTCCCTTAGGTTTTGCCCTTAGCAGGTGACCGGAAGCTCACTAATGCCATATCTGATCTGCATTCCAGCCTCGGGGAAAGAGGGAAAAAGGAAGGGGCAGGCAGGCCACTCTTTCTTGTTAAAAACATTATAAGGAAGAACCCACATCATTTTTACTTGCAGCCCATTGGCCAAAACTTCGTTATACAGCTACGCCTAACCTAAAAGCAGTCCAGCTGGGAGGCTGTAACTGAGGGACTGGCCCTGAAAGGATGAAAAAGGGAGGAACAATTAATCAAATCTGCTACAATCACCAGGCTCCTTAGAACTGGAAAGGGGACTTTAATCAAGGTTTTCTGAATTCAAGTTTATTATTCCTATTGCCTGATGAATATACATTTGTACTCTCCATTCATCACTAATAAAAGGGAAACATAATAAATTCAGTTAATTTTTGTTTTACTTTTAAATATTTTTCATAACTAAATTTACCACTCAATAAAATTACTGACTTATTAGTCATTTCCTTCTGGATCTTATCCTTCTGATGTTTATGTATTTCATTACATCAGTTTAAATGTGTTTATGTTTTCTGGAATGCATATCCACAGCAATACTGTCTTTCACTTTTCTCTTAAAGCTGGCGAAAGACTAAAGTGCTAGACAGATGGCAGAAGAGAACTCAGCTGTGCTGTGTGGCCCATTTTGCCAACTGCCATGTGACCTTAGAAAAGCTATTTATCTGACCTTTAATCTCCAGGATCAAATCCGGGTTCTGTGGAACCTAAAGATTACATGTAATTTAAAGACCCTCTTTAAGAAAAATATCCAATTACTAATCCAAAATTAAGCATGAAAGTGAGTACTTATTTATAGTGAGAAATGAAATAATAACAAAAAAAATTCTGAATGCTCATGAATACCACAACTATCACAAAGTCTTGAAAAATAAGATATGTTCATGCTGCCTCACATAGCACTATCATACTTTACCCCCTACAGTTTTGGCTGCATACTATTTGATGCTGTTCTCATATAATGACAATTTTATAATACTTTTTTAAGGGGACAAAGATAATTTTTTTCTAGCATGATTAATTATATTTTGTTTTTCTATCATCAATAGTTGGGAACCATTAAAAAAAACCCAGCTTCACACTCGGTGGTACTTGTCATTTGTAAGTATTGCTATTGGCTTTGCCTTACGAACACAGCAATTATAATAAATTCTATTTTGTGGGATTCCCATCTAATAAAAGAAGAAAATGGTATGCATATAGTTATATGTGCAATATGATAAAGTATGTTTCTGACAGGAGGAAATCTCCACTTTGACTAGACATCAAAAATAACTGAAGACTCCCTGCTTTTGACTTTTTTTTTTTGCGATGTTTGTATTTTACAATTTTAAAACATTTTTTGGAGAAGTTTTAGTTTTACAACAAAACTGAGAGGAATGTACAGAGATTCCCATATACTCCACATCCCTGCACATGTATAGCCTGCCCCATTACCGAACATCACTCACCAGAATGCTACATATTTACCAAAGATGAACCTACATCAACACATCATAATCACCCAAAGACCATAGTTGACCTTGAGTTCACTCTTATTGCTGTATATTCTATGGGTTTGGACAAATGTATAATGACATATATCCATCATTATAATGTCATACAGAGTATCTTCACTGCCCTAAAAATTCTCTATGTTCTCTGACAAATCAACTCTTCCATCTCCCCACTCCCCAACCCCTGGCAACAACTGATTTTTCCATTGCTCCACTTCAGCCTTTTCCAAAATGTCTTATAGTTGGAATTACACTGTGTGTAGCCTTTCCCGATTGGCTTCTTTCACTTAGCAAGGTGCATTTAAAATTCCTCCATGCCTTTCCATGGTCTCTTACAGTTTTACAAATCAGATGACTGAAAAAGTGTCTCCCAAACTAGCTTCTTTATTTCAAGCCTCCTTTCTTCTCTACTGTCCACCAGGATCAGAGACTGAATCGAGGGAGAGGAGCACCACATCTAAACCTTGGGACAGCTAGCAATGGCTTAACCATTCACGGCAGTGACCTACAACCTTCTAAATATATTCCACCACGCCCCATCGAAGTGCATCCTCACCTCCACTTCCCTCAGCCAGTTACCACAAATGCCCATTGTCATCCAAGACGAGGTGAAGCACAGTGGAGAAGTCAGAAAGGAAAGAGACAGCAGTAATCTGAAGATTATGCTTTCTCTCGTAAGTTTACAGAAATATGTGACAATGTAATCACACCATCAGGGTTCCTCCCAGAGCCTGTGCTGGTGCAATGCCCTGAAGCTTAAGCTTGACGATAATCTGCCTCTTTTACTCACATGTAAAACAGGGATAATATTGACCTAGCTTATTGAGAGGACTGAGTGGGGAGGATTCACACAAACACTTTGAAAATGAAAGGTTTCCAGGAAAGTAGATGCATGTACACTTGACACAGGAACTTTGTGGAGGATTTGCCCCCAAACCGATCATCTCAGTGAATGTAAAGATAAGTCTCTTTCTGGTTTATTTCCATCTATGCTTTATTGTCTTCTCCCACCTTACTTATATTTTGTTCATTTTTCCATATTTTATTTCCTGCTTTTTCTGATCCCTCTTCTCCCCCTCAACTCACAAATCCTGTGTTTTGTGTCCACTTCTGCAGCCACAGGCTGGTCCCTCAGCTTTTTCTAAGCTGCTTTCCATATCTCTAAAACGTGTGGCTGCAAGGGCAGCCATCTATCTAGGAGAGACAGGCGGCCACGTGATGCCCAATCTCCAGATGGGGCTTCAGGGTGACCCTTCAGTCTGATCACCAGGCTCCACTTATGAAATACAGCCTCTGATGAAATTCATGGCAGGCAAACTCCCTGCACAACGTGGGGCAACAGCATGATGGATGGGCCGGAGATGATGGATCGTCCCCTCTCACCCTTAGTCCATGAATTTTGGTTCACGTTTCCTCCAGCAGGGACGGAGTTGTCCCAGAGATAATGTCAATCACCCAGGAGCTGGTCTCTGAGCTTACTGCTTGCTTAGGGATATCTATCACCCTCATTACTCAGTAAAGCTAATGATCACTGACGATGTAAGTGTTTAGTCCATTTCAGTGGTTTTTTTAAATTAAACAGACGGCTTGGCATATGGATCAAAATTCCTAGCACTGTAATAAAAAAAATGTCTTCTAAAGTATGGTCAAAATGTGGAATTAAAGTAAAAGAGAAGATTTATATATAGCTTAATAATCCTCCTTGTCATCTGTTCATTCTTTTGGGGAAATAACTATTACAGCTCACTATAATCTTAATCCTACATAGTCACTTTTTTTTTTAAAATACATGATCTTTTTTTGGTATTAGGAAATGAATCTGAAATCTGAATATGAAAAAAATTGGATGACTTTAATATGCCTGCTAACACTGTCTCATTAATCTCCGTGGTGCTTCCGAAAGATGTATGGAATGTAATTTTATCTCCATTTTACAGAATGTGAAACCAAGATATCTCAAAGCTCTTTTACATACTTAAGATCACACAGTGGCTCGGTAACGTAGTCAGAAATAAAAGCCAGCTTTTCTAAGAAGGGCTCTGACAATTAATCAGAAACACAGCAAGTCTGCTCTTTGATGACTAGAAATTTCATCTGAAGCCAGATGATGATTTGAGCAGTAATAAAGGTGGCACAGCTGGTGATTATATTACATCTTTAGGAGATTTTTCAGTCCCAAAACCTGCAACATAGCATGTAGACTCTGCTTAGATTTGGTACATCACAGCAAAGATATCTGCCCCAAAAATTCTTACGAAGAAAATCTTATTCTCCCTCATTTATCTCCTTTATAAAATTCAGAGGTCATTCCTATGGAAAACAGAATCCATAGACACTGTGGAAAAAGAAGCTGCAATGCACAGTTCAAGATTTGGTAGGAAGACAGTCGAGCATCTGGGGAGTTGGGCTTAGTTACCTCCTAAGGCTTCTGGTTCCTGGTTCTGGAAACAACTCTGCAAAGTAGGAATAATAATGGCCACATCTATATGGAACAGATGCGGCAAAAATCACCCTTTGTATCCCCAGGGCTTGGTTTAGCCTGATGAGCAGGTGTTTAATGCGTAATTATTGACTATGAAGGGGGAGGATCTGTAAGTAATCAAAGATATTCCAATGGGCTGCTATCACTCTGCCCAGCATACTTACACCTGCAGATGATACTAATGTGCCTGCAGTATTTCAAGCTCTTTCCACTAGTAACACATTTCCAACCAAAAGAGCTCTTTCATCTAACTTCAACACAAAGAACTTCCCATCTCTATGAATACCAAGGTTTTACATTTATAACTGCCATCATGTCACTTTAATTGAACAGATAACCGTTAATTCAGGGGTTTTCCAACTGTATTGAGCGTAATAATCACCTGGGGTGCATATTAAACATACATTCTCAGGCCTCCAGCAATTCTGACTCAGATGGGAGGGCAGAGTTTAGCATTTAAATAAGAACCCCAGGGGATTTTGATACAGGCATTCCAAGGACCACTCTTAGAGAAAATAAATCTCTGTAAAATGGCCCTATTCCAGAGATAAAGAGAGGAGATTCAGAAAAGATTCTTGCCCAAGGCAACTCATGCATTCCATCATTCGGTCATTTGGCAAATACTTACTGTGAGTATAAATTATCAGACACCATGGGTTTGTGCAAAACTAGAACCCAGCCTGATCCCCAGGCCATTGCTATTTCTACTCTGCCTGCAGCCAGATGTCATAGAAGCTCCAAACAATATATGAGACTAGCTGGGGGTGGACTCTGGAAAGGCTTCATGGAGCAGGCAGAATTTGGATTCCAGCCATCAATATGAACAGAAAGGAACTGGGCCAGCAAAGATATTTACAGTGGTATTAATGGCTTGTGTCCAGAACGTCAGGTTGCACTCAGAGGACCTGATGAGTGAGGCAGAGAAAGCACAAGGGTGTCACAAGTCAGGAACCCCACTCGGCAAATTTCAGATCTCAAAGCCTTACCTCCTGTATCTCCTGGGCAGTTCTCAGTGCTGTATTCACGTTGGTTGAGACTTCTATTGGTAACAGGAAAATCCCACCAGCAGTGGCCTGAGCACTCCATACCCAAACACTCCAGTGTCTCCAGTCTCAGCAGCCTTGTTCTGAATGCCTCTCTTCCCCCAGGCTTTCCGGCAGAAAGAAACTCTTCTTCACAAACAACTTGTTGATGCAGAAGATGGAAAGGGCTGCATTTAAAAACCAGACAAAAAGTATAAATATGACCTGGATTAAGTCCTCAGGACACAGGGGCCTCATGAGTGAGAAGGGGAACATTAATCAAGAGGCAGAAGCAGGGAGTGACTTATCAGGGCACTTTGGTTCTAGCCTGGGCTGCGTATTAGAATCACCTGAGGAGCTTCTGAAACAATACCGATG